TTTTTTTTTTTTTTTTAATTAATGGGTATCGAATCAATTTGTGTACACATCAATTAATCATTTAGAATCCTAAAATTATCGATCGGATAAGAATCACAATGAGAGTGGCCAACATTATTAGTACTTAAGGAAATTTAAACTCAAGAACCCATATTGAACTCTTTTACTCTTTTAGCATTAGACCACCAATAATGGTTACAGTAACTTCGTTAACCACAATAACCTATTAGAGGTTTATTATATTAAATTTTTTATTAATCATCTCATTCAACAATGACTTATTGGGTGAAGAGTTAGGCCCACCTCAAATTTTATCATAGTATCAGAGCCCAGGTTCAATTAATCTGAGTGTTTGATCAGCGGATGAGGAGTTTGAACTAGCAATTACCTCCAATAACATGCATGACCCAACATATGGGCTTGACCGTGAGAGGAAGTGTTAGAGTCCCACACTGACTAAGCACATTTAAGCCTACTGGGTTATAAGAGGGGTTAATCCTCCCATTCAACAAGGCCTTATTGAGTAATCTTTTCATTCAACAATGACTTATTGGGTGAGGAGTTAGGCCCACCTCAAATTCTATCATTAGTTATAAGGAAAATATTATAGTCTTAATTATATATTTTTTTATTTAAGTAATTAATCCTATGGAAGATTGAACGACATAATTATTTCAATTTCTATTAGGAATAACAGTTTCTTCCTACATTAAATGTTAATTAATATCTAATAACAGTTTTATTAAATATTGTTAGAATTTAGAATTGAGAGAGGAACTCTAATACCATGTCATAATTGAGAGGACAAAAAAAGCAATTGAAGAGAGTCGGAGAATACTCGAGAGATATACGAGAGAATTAAATTTAATTGTATGTTTAATTTGAGTTTTAAATACACACATTTATACAAAAGTGTGATAGTTATGTTAAGATATAAAATATTACAAATAATGATACAATTTCACATATCTTAGCATAATTAGGAATGAGAATAATTCACATATTCTCATTCCATGTCCAAGTGATACGTGAATGATTTGCATATAAGATTAAAACTTAAATAGATTTCGTTGTCTAATATATATAATTAGCTTTCATATATTTTTTAATTTTGTTTTGAAAGATAAAAAAAAAAAAATCATTCGAGTTCTCATTTCATCCAAATTCCAAGAGATTGTGGCTAACTCTAACATTATTATGCATTCTTTTATTGAATTAACTTTTTTAACTAGTATTATTATATTTATTTTCTATGTAATTATTAAATATTTTTTGTTAGTTAATTTGGAATTCTAACCTATCTAATAAAAGTTTGGGTGGTTTGGCTCCCTATTTTTATCCATATTCCCCATCCTATTCCCAAATAATGTTGGCACACTATCCAGAAATATTACCCTATTTTTTGAATTACTTTTAGACCCCATAAGGTTATTAATTTCACTAAATGCCCCCTGATTTTTTTTAAAATTAACAAAAAACCCCCCATCAACTCAATTGTCAGATTCCGGCAACCACTGCGGTGATAGCCGGAATCTATACAACTGCCTAAATTTTGACCAAAATGGTCGGAATTACACCGATTTGGCTGCAGCGACGACCAAAGAAATGGCCGTCGTTGACTGAAAACGACGGCCACATCTTGGCCGTCGCTGACAGCCAAAGATGTCCGCCGTTTTGGCCTTTCGGCCATTGACGGTCATAACAGGCCGTAGATCTGGCCTTTTCCGGCAGATCCGTGGTGGATCTAGCCGGAAAAGGCCATAATGATGCGTTACGGCACAGATCCGATCGGTCTTGCGTTTCCAGCCAGATTCCGGCGGTGGCGGCCGGAATCTGACACTGCAGGTGGTGGGGGTGTTTTTATCATTTTATATAGTAGGGTCTTTAATTAAATTAATAAACCTAAGGGCTTTTTCATAAATTTTTTAAATTTACCTTGTAATACTCCCCTATCCAACAATCCGATACTATCCTCAAAATCCTATCCAAAATACTACACCAAACGCACCCTATAAATTTTGAATAAAAAACTCAAAGAAAAAAGGAACCTACATAAAAAATTTAGTTAAATTCCAAATAAAGAAGAGTTTTCAATAAAGTTTTCATTAGATAATAAAATTACTCTTTTTTGCTGTTTAAAACAATTTTTTAAAGAAAGAAAAAACTGTCTTGTAAATACATATATATCCTTCAGAACTCTTATTTTGATAAATATAAAATTAAGCATATGAAGGTAGAAGTAATATCATTCATCTCAATAATGTACGATATTGTCATATCATTCAATGCATCATCATTTTAGTTATATGTTAAAGTCACATATAAAGACATTTTACTTCAAAGTTGAAAGATAAAATTTTGGATAAATTTTAGGGAGAGTATTATCGTTGTAAGGATAAATGCCTCGTAAAAACTCTCTTATTTTACAAAATTTAAAGAATGAATTAGACAAAAAAATAATAATAATGATGATGATGTCTCCACCAACGTAAGATATTTAATGCAAACCTTATACACAAATCTAAAATTACTAGACAAACACAAACTTCAGTGGTCTTGTTTGGTCACAATTTTTGTGCAATATTTCGATTTTTGATTTTTCTTGGAAAATGAAGATCTCTTTAATGACTCGTTACCATAACCAATTTCAAATGTTTAATTTCTTCTTAGAAATGTGAATTGTTGTATTGGTTTCCTCCATTTTTGTTGACAAGTAAAAGCCTGCAGAGTAAAGGGTGGGTTTGTTTGTTTGTCTTCAAATATATGGAGATAGGTGCATTCAACTTGTTAATAATTTTGTATTATAAAATGAATTTTGTTGAACTATTTATATTTCTTAAAAATATAAATAGGATAAAGTTCATTGTTTAATCACATAATTAATTAATTAAATATAAGGAAACCCTAAAGCTTGAACCAGAAATATTAAATATTTTTAATTTGAGTATCAAATTCATAACTCAAAAATGCAAGACAGTAAGGTGACATAATTATTTATAATCAGAATATATATTATGATTATAATACTAATTAAACTACATTAATTTAGCATTATCTTATCGTAAAATTAAGATTAAATAATATTGGGCACAACGTTTGGAAGCTTCGCCGCTCGAACAAGAATCTCTTCTTAGATATTGAAGCCGAGGCATCTATGCTGAGACAAATTAATGCATCTTGAACATGGAGCGTTGACAATTAATTAATATTATTTATTTATACAATGCAAATTAATATATGTTTACGCTTAATTAAATTAATATATATTTTATGATTGAGAAGCATCCAAATAATAATCAATGAGCCTATCAAACTAGGGTAGCACTTCAAAGTTGGTGCTTTGAGTAGAGGGTAAGTTTGATCAAAATAACAACTTTTGGAGAGAAAACGTGATTTGTCAGTTTGTAAAGGGCTTTTAAAAATTCTGCAACCACTTAACAACAATTAGTGTACATCAAATTAAAAAAAAATCTATATGACACGTATAGTGATTGATATTACATTAACTAACAGTTATCCATTAAAGGCAATGCATATGTGATAATACCATTTATAGTAAAAAATTTAAATTTAATTTTTTTTTTATAATATCTCAAAGGTCCCTATGCACCACTCAACTTATTTATGGTAGTGACAATCTAATGACCCACTAAGAGTCTGTCGCCTCTATTTGTTTTTTCTAGCACCGTTTAGTTTCATTTGAAAGTGTAATTAAGAGTGACAAAGATTCAAAATTCTTGTGGCTACCCCTACCCCTTTCTTTCTTACAAGATCGAATTCTGTTTTTTCTTTTAACCCATTACGAAGCTGGTTTTGCAGGCTCGTTTTAGGCCATGCATTTTCATTACACCCCTAAAGTTTGCCACTTAATCAACACACTACCTCCAATTTGATGATATTGCCTCCCATCTCCTTTGTCGGTACGAATTCATTGACACTATTAAGAACCTTCGTTACTAGGATTATTATTATTATTATAGACCGCCCTAAATTTTTGTCTAATTTCCGCCATGGTTTTGAGCATATAAGTGTAAACCAAATTTCGCTCCTACAGAAAGGATTATAAATCTCTTTTGAGGACAACATTTTGATAATTGTAAAGAGATCTTAAACAGAGTGTCAACAAAATTAGTCTATCTATATTATGAAATACCTATTACATTTCTGAAAGGCGAGGGGGAAGAGCAAAGTTTAGGGAGGGTAAAAGAAATGTATGGAATTGGTTGCATTACGTTATTGTTGTTATGTGACTCTTAAACCTATGAAAATATTCCATGTTCAGATTGAAGAAGAAGTGGTCACATGGAGACATTAATTTATCTACACAAAAACATAGATATTAATTTGTTTTTCTCAATTTCTGGGGCTAAAACGATAATGTTTCCCACCTGCAATGGATAGGAGTTATAGCTCCAAGCCAAAATCTCTGCGCTGGACTTGTACCCATCACCTGAAAATGACTACCTTTTCAAATTCAACGGCCCTGATCTAATGTTTCTATCATCTCCATTTCTCCAACTGAAGCGTATCCAGTGGTGGGTATTGCTAAATCACAGTGTTTACATGTGCAGGTTTGTGATTTTTGTTGCATGAGATCTTCTTAGTTGGCTGAGTTTTCATTATAAATTACTAATGGCATTTATAACGGAATGCCGTTGAAGCAAAGCTCATTTTGTATACATTATTACGTTTTGCACTTGTCTTCCTTTGATTTGCAACTTAATTATAATAAATAGTCAACTATATCATTTTTTTTAATTAATAAGTTTTTTAAATTATAATATAAATAATATGATGCACGATATTGATTTGTCTAATCGTCATTGAATCATCCTTTTGAGGGAATAGTTAAAGATAGATGAACGAGAAAAATAATTCCAACATTTTTTGCATTTGTTACACGTGAACCCTATCTCACATGAGCTGATTCGGACACTCTTGATCCTAAAAAAAAAATAAAAAAAATAAAAAAAATTCATAATTAATACCAAAGAGAAACTAACACTGGTGATATTCACAAAATTAGAGAGTGATTGAATACAAGTAATTTAATATTAAAATTAATTAAGATGAAGTAGAAGCATCATCTTTTTGTTCAATCTCATCCTCAGCTTCTAATAATGAAGATAAGCATGGATTAGTAGAAGAATTATTAGTATGAATCTCCTCCTCCTCCTCTTCTTCATCAGCTTCTAATAGAGAAACGGTACAAGGAGTTGAAGAAGAATCTTCTGAAGAGGAAGTGTAAAATGATAATGGAGAAAAAGGAGAACGAGAACAAGAACAAGCTGAAGCTAATGAAGACGAAGAGCAAATACTTGTAGCTGTATTGATTTTACTTGAAGATGAAGTTGTTGTTGTTGAGGAAGAAGAAGAAGAAGCGAAAGCGAGAGCAACAAGCAAATCAACAAAAGCTCCAACAATATATCCATGGTTGCTCTTTCCATTGACTCTCAAATACCAGCTCAAAAGCTCTTCGAGATCTTCCCAATCTTTCAACCCATGAGCTTCCACCATTTCTTCCATGGATTTTCGGAAGTCAATGTAAGGATTTTGAGACTCCATTGACAAAACTAAACTCTTTTTGAATGGAAACCCAGCAGTCTTTGCCTCTTCCAGGATTGAACTCGTCTCACCCGGCTCAAAAAACAACCTCTCAGTCTCGGATTTCAACCCTTTGATGACATTCTCCACGGAGGAATCAACCGCTCTTGATTCTTGCTCTGAGGCCGCGGAAAAACTGGCCGCCGCTGAGTCGGAAGTGGTGGTGAACCATGAAGATTCAGGAGTTGTTTGATGATGATGATCAAGCAAATCTAAGTTATAGGCTGAATTAATGGTCTTGAACATTTTGGTAGTGTCAGTGTTATTATCAATAATAATATTATTATTGGTTCTAAAAGAGAGGGTTCTTGGTTGGTGACAAGAAGGCCATGGCCAAGAAGATGATCGTGCTACTGCTAATATTGTGTTGTTATTGTTTTTGGAGAGAAAATTAGGAAGCTTCATTTTCTTGCCCATTTGATGAGAAGATTGGAAATGAAGTTTTGAAATGAATTTTTGGAGGGCATATATTTTTATTTATTTATGGGGGCATTAATTGAGAGAGAAAGGAGGAGAAGAAGAAGGAAGGGAAGGGGGTTAGCTAGGGTTGGTTGGTGGCTCTTTCAATTTATTCTTATAAGAGTAATAAATTTTGAGATGGAAAATTTAATGTAGTTCACCTCACCTCACCTTACCTTATTCAATTCTACTTTTGTTTCTTCTTTCAGACTTTTTCTCAAATTAATATTTTATATATTACTCCAACTGATTTATGATATTCTAGATTTTTCAATTGAATTATGAAATATGTTTTTAAGATTTATGGAGAAAGTTCTACATAAAATTGCTTTTGAAATTTTACTTTTAAAATAACCATCTTATGTCTTTTATTTTGCAAAAATATAATTTGTTAATAGATAAAATGAAGTTGGTATTTATCTTATAAAACTTGTGTTGTAAACATAACATCAAAAGCACATTTTACCTTTTTGTAAATACATAAAAACAAAATTAGAATATATATATATATCCAAGAGACTCATAAAGCATTTAATAATGAAAAAATAAAAAATTCATTGATAGTCCAAAAGATAAATGAAAATATAATTGAATTAAATTGAAAACACAATTTTTAAACAATATAAAACAAACAGCACTTGACATATGGGGATGAAAGCATCACGTGCAACCCCTAAAAAATTAAGTAAAATCCAGAAGATAGATTGAGACATTAAAATATTATAATAAATGGAGTTTGAGTATTCTTTTTTTTTGTTTCTATTAAATTAAATCAAAATAATTAATGAGGTTTGTTTTGTTTTCCTATAACTCCAAGAACATGAACATGATCTATCATCATATCATGTGACATCTTTATATTCAAAATCAACCTTTAAACGTTAGCCTAGTGGCCATGCATGCCCACCATTCTTTTCTCTTGTAGATTTAACTTTTGTTACTGAGATTAACATTGCCTACAAGAATTAAACAATGAGAATTCAAGTCTGGATTTTAGAATTTTTGAGTTAGATTTTTTGTTTGAAATATTTAAGATAATTAAATAGACCAAATAACCCTAGCCAGTCCTTAACGTAAACAAAGGGGACCATATAATATAATGTCATCATATAATGTTACGGGTGGTCCATTCTCTTATCTAAAGGATGTTTGTCTGAACTTATGAAAATTAGCTTATAAGCAACAAGTGCTTATAAACTAATTTTAGCTTATAAGCATTTAAAATTTTAAGCAATTATGTATTTGGTTAAAGTACTTATAAGTGATTGATAAGTAGTTGACGTGTTTAAGAGGTGTTTGTCTGACCTTATGAAAATTAGTTTATAAGTAACAAATGCTTATAAGCTAATTTTAGTTTATAAGCATTTGAAATTTTAAACAATTACGTGTTTGGTTAAAGTACTTATAAGTGATTGATAAGTAGTTGACATGTTTGGTAAAATGTGGCTTATAAGTACATTTTATAATAAAATGACTAAAAAGTGTACTGCATTAAATAAGGGTATACTATGAAATTTTAAAATTAAACAAGGATAATGTGGTAATATACTTGGTCAAACTAACTTATAAGCAAGAAAAAAAAAAAGTACCTCTTCGCCAATTTTTTTTTTTTTTTTTTGGCTTATAAGCTCAAAAAAAGTTATAAACAAACAGGTCAGCTTAATTTTAGAGCTTATAAGCTAGTTTGACCAGCTTATAAGCTTAGACAAACACCCCCTTAGTAAAATGTGGCTTATAAGTGCATTTTATTATAAAATGAATAAAAAAAGATACTACATTAAACAAAAGTATACTTTGAAATTTTAAAATTAAACAAAAATAATATGGTAATATACTTGGTCAAACTAGCTTATAAACAGAGTGTTTATAAGCAAAAAAAAAAAAAAGTGCCTCCCCCCAACTATATTTTTTTTTTTTTTTTTTGGGGGGGGGGGGGGGGGGGAGAGGGCTTATAAGCTTAACTTATAACCTCAAAAAAATTATAAACAAACAGGTCAGCTTAATTTTAGAACTTATAAACTAGTTTAAACAGTTTATAAGCTTAGACAAACATCCCACTACTCATATCATATGTTAAAGTTCAAATTTGGTAAGCAAATTCTGGCGTAACTGAGCAAGAAGATCGGTTGAGTTTGGTGTTGATGTTCGGCTCCAATAGATGAAAAAAATCGTTCTGTAAAATAATTTTAAGTTTGGGAGAGGATGTAAATAAAGAGACACCATTCTTAAACAAAGGGGAAGGGGACCATATTACATTTCTCATCTTCTTTCTTTTGGTTATCAAATTCAAATGGATCACCATAACCTCATTTTATATCCAGTATTCAATGAAATGCCTTTGACAACCACTATTGGGTGACTTAAGTGTATTACTCAAGAGGTCCTGAGTTTGATCCATCTAGGTTACTAATAGAGATAGCCACTGAGGGGATTTACCTGACTGTCAACTTTAAAGTCTCAGATGATTAGTTGAGGTGCGTACAAGCTGACCAAAGATGTATAAGAGAGGATTAATAAACCAAATATAGTAGAACCTCTCTATAGTAATACTTCATACAGGAATAACATCCATATAGTCATAAAAAAATTATGATATCAACTTGGGCTAGTTATAAATAAGAATGAATTTCACATTGTAATAAGTTATAATTTTTCTAGGTCGTGTCTTAAGGAACTTGCCTCTACATAGTAATAATTATATGTATATTACAAAAAAAACATAATCTATGTTACATTAAATGTTTAAGATGAAATAAAATATTTATCTAAAGTTGTTTGGGACAGTGATTTATACTTTAGAGTTATTACCACATCTTTTATCTTATGAGTATGTAATAAGTAGCCAGCATGGACACCTTCTTGTTGAAGCCAAACTATTTCTAACTTCTCAAGTATATTTATAGTTTTTTTTTTACACGAAACTTTTAGTATTTTCGTATTATCATCCTCAAGATTATCTCCTTCCTCTTCTTGTTTAATTCCAATAATGATTTATTCTTCAGTTAAAACATACAAAACTTATTGCTCATTTGGATGATTGAAGAATAAATTAATATCTATTTCATTAGTGTAGTGAAGTTTGTCGAATCTGTTCACTCAATTCATTTATCCTCCTGAAACATGAATTACAAAATAAAAAATCAAAACAATAATTCTTATAACTACACATTTATTAAGTTATAACCTTATCATATTAATAAATTGAGTTGATCCCAACATTATGACTATAAAGAGGTTATAATGTATATCTTAATTAAATTTGGTTTTTTAACTAAAATTGCAAAATGGAAACAGGGAAAAGTAAAAAAATATATTTTTGAAAAATGCTTTTCAAATTTCAAAAACAAAAAAGACGACATAAAACATTAAAAGTTTTGAGCAAGAATTAAACGTACTAGTGCAGTTTGTTTTTGTCTTGTAGTTGAAGATGATTTTCCTGAATCCTAAAGAACTTCAGAAAGTCTTACAACGAAATTGGTCGTTTGTTAAGGGTACAACAAACAGGCTCTGCAATAAAAAAATCTAACTTAATTCAGAACTTAAAATAATCTTGTTGCAAACTTATATACTCCAAATATAAATTATTAAAATCTAAAAATAAAAAAACTTTATGCGAACTCTATTTTAATGTGATCAAGAGTCCAAACTTTTGTTCCTATTCACTTTCTCAAAACATGGCATCAGGTCAACCCTAGACACATGAAGGGTATATCAATCATTTCCAATTAAAAACGACTAATCTAGGGTGGTTGATCGTCTTTTCACGAAATTTTGAGGGTAACACTGTAAATAAATCATTGGTCGAAGATAATATAAGTTAAACATTGACAAAAGTTTAACATCAGTGAAACTAGTGTTAGTGTCCGAAACCTAGAAGGATTGCCTTGCCCGTCCACCAAACCTCAGGGGTGACAATGTAAATACTCTTATCATGTTACTAGCTCGATAATGTTATTAGATTGATTTCAACACTTGGATTGACATGCAATCCGAAGGTTGGCACCGAGCGGTGCCTAACTTGGATATTGCTCAATCAAGAATCTCAATAAAATGTGAGATTTGTGGCATAGGTAGAACTTGCTCTTCAAAACAAGTTAAAGCTCAATGAAATCCATTTATTCTGGGGTATGGAAAATAAACAGAAAGGCAAATAAGACAGCAGTTGGAGAGGACCCATCGGTCTAAAATCTTATATTAATTTTCTAAGATAGGCCTTTCTCCCAACTCGTCTCATATGTTGAATTGCAGAAAAATTATTTAAACAAGCTAAGCTTATTAAATCAAAATCACATTCTTGTAGGTCCGCCTCCAAGCACCAAATCAGTGAAATGGACCAGTGTCCAGACACGGGTACCAAATATTAAATTTGTTGAATCACAATGAAAGAGACCAGCTCATGTTCAGTTGTGGCTGTACTTATTTAAAGGAATTCAATATAAATCCTATATATTTTTAGCAATGTTTCATACTAATCCACTGATTAGAATCCATGCAACAAGAACTTCAAGTAAAATCACAAGCATGGTTGACATACCTGGAGTGGAAATTGCAGTAATTAGAAACAGTGGCAGTTGTCTTTTCCATATGGGATGGGGGATGACCACCTAGAGCACAATTACACAGACTTGTTGAGGAAATGAACAAATGGATATGACAATATCCAGTAACTTTCCGCAAATTCAGCTATTCATCTTTTAGTTGCAAGTAGTGGTCAATGCCTAGTGCAATTTCTGAGAACTCCGATAAGAGTGCAAGTTGCGAGATGAGCATACCTATAAATTGTTCACACCAGCCATCTTCTGAAACATGCTTTGATAGTGTCCAATTTAGGAGATGCTGAAACCTTATTATGCAAGTAGCAATCAAAATATAGCATCGTAAGATTTTCTGTTTGGTTCAGATGAATCCAGCCAGTAAATGCAACTTGAACCGACTTCAAGTGGATATTCATTGTCACACTGATATTGACTATCACTCTTAAACATGCGCATAAGACTCAGACTGCTTTGCACTTATTTCTCTCTAAAAATTGTTCTGTATTACCATTCCAACCAAAAATAGAAGAGACCGAATTGAACTAATAAAAAAACAAGAGAAGTATATCTAATTATTGCACAGATGAGTAAATATAGCAACACAAACTCACAACATAGGGCCTAACCAACATATTTAAAACCAATAAAGCGCAAAGTGAAATGATAAAGCCTGTTTTTTCCATGATCAATCCAATAAAATGAGAGGGTTCCAAATTTAGAAAAAGATACTACATAAATGAAAAAGTTGCAAAAATATTTTAACGAACGGGACCACCCCAGCTGGTTGAAATGGATTAACCCTACATTGATGAAGGTAATGGTCCAATCAACCGCACAAACCCATGTGTGGTACTCAACATAAAACTGATGAACAACACTTGAACCTGGTACCAAGTGGTCAGGACCACAAGCTCTTTTATCTTTCAATGAGAATTTACATCTCATCAATATTTAGATGAAAATGACATATGCAAAAGATAATATTTAAATAACTTAAATTTCAGGAACCATACATGCTTACACAAGAAATAATACTATAGTTTCAAGATAGTCATTCAACAATTCAAGACGGCAATACTAGTTGTGTCATATCAATGTCACAGATTAGTTAATTTTTTTAATATAAAATAATCAATATTGAGATAAAATGATTGGAAGTTTTTATTATATTAAAATTTTTTATTAATTAAATCATACTACGAATGAAAAGCCAATTCATGATTCTTCAACCCTAATTGAAGCATGTGAATCTTTTTTCCTCATGTCAACTGTCAAGGACTAGAGTTCAGTTTTATAAGCATTGAGTTCAAGAGATGTGTATGTAACAATGTAAGCAAGAAAGGAGACCGTTACTAGATTTATAAAAGATTAAAATCTTTTTCTCAAGTGACTTGAGGATTGAACAAGCTAGAAAAGTGAAGCTTTTGACTGTTGATCTTCCCTTTTTTTATTTTTTTTCTCTTTTTAAATCTAGATCAAGGAATAGGTTAGTTATAAAAGCATAAAGGTTGTGTGATATGGTGACAAAGAAAGAAGACAAGGCAAATTATTCACTATTCATGTAAGGCTTCACCATCCTTGTCTTTTTTTCTTTTTCCAAATAAACAAGGGGTCAGTTGAGCAAGCTAGAAAAACCCTTTCCAATTTCCACCCTTCAGACAGAAGCCCAGTCTACTTTTCCATTAGCTCCTCTTTCCACTGAAAGACAGCTAAGAAACGAATCCAAGTCATGTAAGTCTATAAAAGATCAAGCTTAGTTAACCCCAACAAGGTAGAATCAAGCTGAAAGGACCCTCAAATTAAATAAAATGCTCAATCCTGGAAGCATCCAGAAGCCAAGGTCATTTATATTGTTTCCTCTAATAAGTCTCCTTTAAATGACATTGTTACAGATAAAAACAAACAGTTAAAAGGAAAAGGAGTCTGGAAAGAAGAGAAATTATGGATGTAATTTACCAAGTAAAAATAGGAAATACCCAAGCATGCTAGTTTACCTTCAAAATCCCCAACATCAAGCTTCCCTGAGGAAAGAATACCGGCCTGCCCATTTGTCAACTAGGACACCCAGGAAATAGTAAACTAGTGTTCTCTGCAATGCTCAAAATATATCTCTTAAGTTTGGCATCAAACAGAAAATTAAAAAATTTCACACTGAGGATATCAAGCTCCAGATTTCCAAAAAGTTGGTAACCATAGAGGTCATCAGATAATAAGACATTAAATTGTTAGTAAAAAATTACAATATTCATATCATGTGATCATGCCTACCTCTATAAAGTTTGAAGATGATTTTCAGATAATCCCAGTTGATTGTTCAAAACAGATAGATATAATGTGGCTATTATTGCCAGCAAGAACAGCAAACCAACATAGTCAATTAAGATTCAGTTGTGATCACTTGTGACCAAAGAATATTATTTGAGCTTGCATTGAACAATAATATTATCGACTCAAGTAACAAGAAATTACGAAGAGAATTTAAGAGTTGCTAAAATTATGTATATATATTGCTCTCTGGAACTTTGTCAACAAAATGACTTTTTTATAAATTTCATACAGATAAAAAGATATATACTTCTTCCAAGCAAGAATTTTAATCCTCTAACAAAATCTTTGTAAGACATAACTTCACTCTTTTGAAACATGGCACAGTAAGCTGTTTTTTTTTTTTTTTCGTGCCTTCGTAAGCTTCTAACTTCAAAGGTGATTATAAAACTCAAAAATTTAAGAGAGAAGCTTCCACCAAAAGAAGTGATATGCAAATAAGCTCTCTTCACTTCATATGCCATAGCCATTGAATTAATAATGTCTCTAGTGAATAAACCCACACTGTAAAGTATTTATAAACTCAAAATTGCTATCTGAAGCAGAAGATATACCCTCCCTCTAGCTTCATTATTATGATGCTTCAGGTGAGTGAAGTCTAAAAATTGTAAACGCAGATTGATTGGGTGTCTTAAATCCTCAACTCTATAGAATTCTATTCAATTATAAAGCTAGCCTTAATCACTGAAACACACAAATAGATTATTACTTTAAAGGATGGGTCTATTCTTGGAAGAACTTACAAAATATAAGGATTCTAAATCAAAATTAAACAATTTTATACTTGACAAACCAAAAGATAATACACAAAAGAGTCAACAGGCCAAATATAACAAGCTTCTACCAAAAATAACAAAGTGAGAAACTTTNTTCAAAGGTGACTATAAAACTCAAAAATTTAAGAAAGAAGCTTCCACCAAAAGAAGTGATATGCAAATAAGCTCTCTTCACTTCATATGCCATAGCCATTGAATTAATAATGTCTCTAGTGAATAAACCCACACTATAGCAGTATGTATAAACTCAAAATTGCTATCTGAAGCAGAAGATATACCCTCCCTGATGCTTCAGGTGAATGAAGTCTAAAAATTATAAACGCAGATTGATTGGGTGTCTTAAATCCTCAACTCTATAGAATTCTATTCAATTATAAAGCTAGCCTTAATCACTGAAACACACAAATAGATTATTACTTTAAAGGATGGGTCTATTCTTGGAAGAACTTAAAAAATATAAGGATTCTAAATCAAAATTAAACAATTTTATACTTGACAAACCAAAAGATAATACACAAAAGAGTCAACAGGCCAAATATAACAAGCTTCTACCAAAAATAACAAAGTGAGAAACTTTTTTTACGGGTTTATTCAATAATTAAGAAATGAAAGACATCTAATGAATCCAGTCAAAATTTTTACCAAAGAATAACACACCATAAACTTTTACCAAAGAAAAAAACAGCATAAACTTTATTAAGAGTTCATTCAATAATAAAGGTTATTAGAACATATGATAATCCAGCCTTTACACAAAACAAGAGGAGGATGTTTTGGAGAGCAGATTCATGAATTCTAAGAACAAAATTTCCATTGAAGAATGAACAGTTTCTCTGAATATATAAATTTGAACAATCAATATTAATAATCTTCTTTCCTGAGCAATGTGCATTTTCATAAACGTGATGCAGAAACAGAAATAAAGCTCATTCTTCCAAGTGAGACTTAAAAATTCACTGTTTATGAAAGAATTCACCACATGAACAGGAAAACAGATCTCAGAACTGCAAACCTGTACACTGTAATCCAATATGAATTGGAAAGAAAATGTTGTGATGGCCAGAAGTTTTCTAGACAAAACTAAAGGAACTCGTATCACTACAGACAGATATGTTGTTAAATCAACAAAAAAAAAAAAAGCCCTTTTACAGATTAATTATTATTGCTCTCAATAGCATCCAAGTCCACTTAATTAACATATGTATATATAGCTGCCCCAGAAAGGTCACGATGAAGAATTTGCATAATTGCAACTCAAAAAACAATGGCCCTTAGCAGACCCAAGAAAACATAATAAGAGAGCAGTGGGTATCACAGAACCCTACTATTAAACTGCCATCATAGAATTCCACGACCTACAGCATCACTTCTAATGCACAAAAGTCCTCCATAAATAACGAAATAGAAGACTTCTGAATCATTCAAGATAAATTAGAAGCCCTAAACAGATTACCCCACAATTTCAAAGCCATAACAATAAAAAATAACATAATCATAGTAGATTTTGGCCACCAATAACATTCATCAATATCATTGATCACACAATTGAATGGTTACTGTTTGTTTATAACACAATGGCCATTGTAGCCGTTTTATCACTGTGAAGGTTTTTAACATGTTTCAACGATAAATTCCTTATTTTCAAGCCACAAGTCATTTCATAAAATTTAAGCTTGAATTTCCATCGACTCAAAAATTATTTTCCAAAGTTTTACCGAACACTAAAAACCATAAAAATATTTCTTGGAAATTATTTTCTGTGGAAAAGGCAGAAATTTGATTTGATTTCGTTTCATTTTACCATGTCACACAACACTACCACTATCACTTCACCATCACAGTTCTCTTTAGTGTCACTGCCACCTCCGGACAATGTCACCACAACCACCATCACTATAGCATTCACTATAGGGCCATTGGCCATATTCTTGTCATAAGAATCACTAACCTATTATGTCACCAAACAGTGAAACTAACAGATACTCTTCCAAAAATTTCATTTGAAACAAGGCAATTCCCATTATTATCCCTTCAGGAACTCAGAAATAAATTCCAGTTTCCTTGCCAACTACAAATCAACCCCATAAAAGTTGTCATTTAAGAATGTAAGATGACTGTAACCAAAGGAATTCAAGGTTTTCAACAAATATAGAAAGGAAAATCTTGAATACAATTAAATATAAATTAAACAAGCTTCAAAGTCACTTTTGTCACTTTATTACACAGGTATGAAATTTAAATGACATGTAACCTAAATAATAAATAGATTTCAACAAATATAGTAAGGAAAATCTTAAATACAATGAAATATAAATTATACATGTTTCAAAGTCAGTTTGGTTACTTTATTACACAGTATTGAGGTATGAAATTTAAATAACATGCAAAAAGTGCATAAAAATATGAGCAATATAATGAAGAGGTGGCAGCTATATTCTGGGAGGACGCTACTTCACACAGGCCAAGGAATCTGAACTAAAAACCAATTTACAACCTTGGAAAGGGCTAATTCACCATAATTATCAGGATTTTGGAACGATTCTGGTGTTTTTCACCACAGAACTAATATCATTCATGAAATGCATTTTTATATAACTTTAGTTTAATTTTCCAATTTGTAAATATCATGGCAAGATTATAGTAATATCAACTATTTTTTAGAAGAAACACTCCAGCAATTGCTTTTAAAGCATATTGGTTCCAAACCAAAGGGAGGATAAACATATTGGTTAAAAACAAACTATTATGTATGGTGTCAACAATTAATCACTTCATCCCATAAAATCTAACAGAGACTGCTTTTTCTCGACAAACTTTACCCATATAATCCACAGAACTCATGAATCCTAAACCAAGATAACTTTGTTGTGCACATGGCACCACATCAATTACTAAATTTGTTATTCAGATCAAAGTTCTTTTAATCTTTCTTATACAAACTGCTGTTTCATTACCTCGCCTCATTTGTTTTCTTGAATACCAACTTCTAATTCAAGAAAAAGAAGTGCCAAGATTTGGTCCACTCTTGTTGTATCAACAAAATCCACTATAAATTCCTCTGGCCTCTTAAACAATCCAGGAAAGATCTATCTCAAATTTTTCACCTCCCAACCTCTAAAATTAAGCAATACTAATAACATTGTCAGCAATAATGATCAGCAAATTTCTCTATCAATCAGCCATAAAGTTTGAAGAAGATGACAGCTAGGAAATTTTGCTTTCAAACGTTGCAACATGAGTTCCACCCTTCATCCTCAACCACAATCTAGCAACCAATTTCTAAAACATGCATACCAATCCAGATAATGAAATCAAGCCAAGAGGATCCAGGCACTTCATACCTATAAATTCTGCTTGAGCTCACCTTTCTATCTTTCACTAAAAAGGACCAAAACAGGATATTGCATGCATTCAGTGCGCTTTTGTACTTCCATAGTAATAATCTGATTAAACCAAATAAGCCTAACGCATCCTACTGTATGTGCAGAACATCAAAGAGATTGAACTTTCTTAATCCACTAATCCCCACATTGCCAAAAACACTATGATCATATTTACTCCTTTCCAAATAAGGTATAATTCCATTCAAATTGAGCCCCACTAAACCCTACAATCTTTATTACTACTTATTTGAGATGTATAACAAATTGTAAAGACAAATAATTATATCAGAATTCAGAGCCGAGAACATACTATATGCAATTAAATAAAATCAACTGAACTAACTTTTTTAATATTGAAATCACCCAAATTGTGTACAGGAAACAGCTATGCTCATATCATATAATCAATTCATTCATTCATAAACTTCTAAACCATACAAAATATTTGCGTACTTTTCAAGCCCATCATAATCTCCTCCAAAATACTTCTCCCTAATCTTCAAGAAAGCATGCAACGTAAACAAGCTATCTGACCCGGCTTGATGGCTCTTCCCAATTAACCGCTCCAAATTCAATGCCTTCCCAACCCGATCCAACCCGCCACGCAAATTCGAGCAAAATCTCATCAAATGCTTCACATCATATACGTTTCCCCTAAAGAAAACACTCACTACTTTCAAAAATTCGTTTAAATTCTCAGGCAGAACTCGCTGCGTCAAACATTTGACCAAGTACCCGAAATCATACGCGCTGTGAAATGTCACCCACGTAACAGCATTGTTCAACACCAAACCTGATGACATCAACAACTCAGCGAATTGCACCGAGTCGATCCCGAGTTCGTGATTTTTCTCAAAATCAATCCCCTGGCATTTTAACAGCTCGACCGAATCGTGCGCATGTGCGTCGCACGTGATATCGAAGTCCTTGAAGTTAAACTCCCATATATAAAATGTCGAACCCGAGCCGAGATCCGGGAGATTCCCTTCTTCGTCAGAGAGAGTGAGCCCGATTTGGATCAGCTTTAAGAGATCAACATTAGCTTTCAAGCTGACGTAGTTTTCAGTCGGATCTTGGTGCCGGAAATCTTTTTCCGATCGGACCACAATGCCCGGAAACTCCGTATCCATCGAGATGATGGGATAACTATCGACTAAGGATCCGATAATCTTGAGTTCAGCCTCCACATTCTCTGCGAATACCGAACGGATCACGATCGGACGCGGCGGGGAAGGCGGCGGAGGCTTAGCAGTACACATTTTTATTCGAGTCAACAAATCGGTTCGAGTTCTTTGAGGAAAGGAGTTGAGATAATTTGGCTTGATTTGATTTTTAGGGTTTGGTCGAATTGGGTATTTTTGATGGAAGAGAAGAGAGTTTTAAATAAAGAGTTTCAGAGACGTAGAGGCTAAAGGCGGTTAGTTTTAAAAAGGTTAAAAAGTAAAAAAAAAATCGGGTTAATAACAAAAACTCCCCTAATATATGATTAACTTACAAAGTCCCCGTGTGTAGTAATAACAGAAATATCTTATTTTTTACGTCAAAATAAACAGTAAAGCAGTACTATAATAAATATTTATTAATTCATAACATAGTCTTTATATGACTGAAATTTTTTATTATAAAGAGTTTATTTATAAAAATAAGAGTTAAATAGATTTTTTATTTTTTAAATATAAATTAAAGAGTGAGTTTGACTCTTCATATTTAGAGAGTTAAATTTTACTATTTATCTTAATTTTAAATAATAAATTTTAATTTTTTATAAATTTTATTTATTATTTATCTCTTTTATTAAGTTTTTTTATCGAAAAAACATATTTTTTCTCCTAAAATTTAAAAAATGTATTGGATTTGAATAAAAATTTTGTTCTTTATATTTAAAAATTAACGTAAGATGCTTTATTTTAAAGAGCATTATGTTAATTTATGAAATTTTAGGAGACTTTTATTTTTGATTAAATGTTAGGGGTCTAAAAATTTCAATAATTTTGGTATGGATGCGGTAAGACACAATTGGGTTAAAGCGTGAGGTACAAGTGAGAGAAGCAGGAAGTTGAAAGTTTTTCACCGGAGTTGTTTTTTAATTTAACCTGAAATTGTGGAAGTGGGTGTGGAGTGGAGCCCACGTTTGTAGAAGTGTAATTACGATAATGCCGGCAGTTGTATGGGCTGTTTCGTGTTCGGCTTTGTTGGTTTTTAGTTTTGAGTTTAAATGAGTTAAAAGGTTTTAAGTTATATTTTGCTAACTAAAATTTTTAAAAATTAGAAAATAATAAATAAAATTATTAGTTAATAGTTATAGAAGAAGAACATCAGGTGCTTGTGTCATTGATTGATTGTTAGAGGATTAATTGATTTTCATTTAATGAAATTGTTACCTAACCGTATTGTTGGTATGATTTCTTCAAATTTAAACAACAAAATTAGAATAAATAAAATTTAAAATTGAATTTTCGATTCTCCATTAAAATAACTTTCCAAAATTAGTGTATAGTTTAATAGTGTGACTTTCGTAACAACAAAATGAGTTTTATTAATTGAAAGATACTCTTGACATTTCTACGTCAACAAATATTATAAATAAAATATTTGATTATTTTTGTAGTTTAATAATATATTTCCATTTAATATTATAATTCTTTTATTGAATATTAACGGGTTCATTTGGTATAATTTATTTAAATAAATTATATAATCAAATTTATGAAATTTATGAAATTTACGAAATTGATTTTTTTTTTTTTTTTTTTATCATAAACAAGTGTCAACCTTTAATAGAGTTTCCTATAAGTTCGTTGGTAAATTACTTTTAAATTTAAAAAAAAAAATAGAAAAACAATTACGATCAAACAGAATAAAGGCATCAATAAGACCCACCAAAGACAATCACAATTAGGTATGAACATGAAATAAAATAAAAGCATGTAAAATGCAAATTGGAGTATTGGGCTCACCCGATTGTGAATTGACTTTGACCATCAATGTTTGACCTTCATTTATGTAAACCCTACGCAAAGTTACATCATGGAAATAGTAAAATGGTGTTGAATAATGGACAAATTTGAGCATCTAAAATATAAGCCTATGATTATCCGCGAATAATATTTTAGTAAGTTGTTTTTAGCTTCACTTGTAATCGTATCTAACTTATGTAAAAGTCGGGTTTCTTGATATTATAAAATACACGGTTTTGTGATACTAAATGTATGACTCATAATTAGAATTATCAAATGATCGAATACAATATATATGATAGATGTGCACAACATATCGCCCTGTTTTTATGGCCTTGAGATAAGGGATAAAATGACCTTATTCGATAAATCACCAATATGGTATCATAAATGTATCATTTATTTGGAAAGCATGGGCAAATTTATTTGTTAATACATTAGGTGGAAGCTTGGGAAGAGAAACAAGGAATCAATGCGGAAAATGGGTAGAGAAGCAAAGAACCAAAACCAAAAGTTTGGTGAAGCCGCCCAGTTTTGTGTTCATAAAGCCCACCAGTGTTGACCACTCCAATTTTGAACCATTCACCGTCACATTTTTTTTTGTCTTGACCAATCAAGGTTTCACATGCTTAAAAAAATTGGCACTTTCTTATAGACTGATTTTACAGAAGTTGTTTTCCTCCTGAGTAGTCAGCTTTCAGAAAAGATATGAAAAATTGGCCAAATTTTGCAGCGTTTTTATTCTTATGTTCTTTGTGGGTCAAAATTTATTAAAGTCAATGTCAATAATGCAACCCAACTAGAGCTTTGAATGTGTTAGAAATGATGGAATTGATTCATTTTAAATAGGAAATTAGAAAACATTGCCAACTATTTAGAATTGTTGTTTATAAAAAGTTGGCTTTTTGGGTATCCAATTTTGAGGAATTTTAAACTCAAGTTTATATCCAATTAGTCACTAGAGTAGGACTTCGATCCAAAATTTTCATTTTAAATTTAACAACATCAGAAACGGCAATGTTGCTCTTCATTGTTTAAACTTTAAAGGTAAACGATTATTTCGTTCCGATAGTCATTTCTTTAATCATGGATAGGACTTAGGAACATACTGTGGATCAGAATTGCGGGGAATACTGTCTCATCATTTCTACCAACTTAAAGGTCCAATTAGTATTCTTTTTATGTTATGCAGAAGTATCCTTTTATATAATTTACATAGTCTTTATTACTAATCCTTTGTGTGTATTTTGGTGTTCCTTATTATCCACCCATCTTTTTTTCAATCCCCCATTTCCTAACATATATATATATATAAACAATAGTGAAAACTCTATACGGTTGGTCCTTTGAGCCCGCTTCAAGCCAAGAGGACCAATCAACCCATCTTTGGGTAAGGGCTTCTTCCATGTTTGTTTACTTCCGCTTAACTCATGTACATAAGAAATGAGACTCAACCCACTTCTACTGCAAATTTAGGAGTTCTTTTTCACTCATATATATCTATTAACCTAAAGAATAACAGTATGAAGACACTAAATCTTGAACCTAAAAATAATTGGGATAACAACTTTGAGAAATTTCATGATTCAATAATTACTAAACATACAAATTTAGAATTCCAACTTTGTATCCAAATCTATTTGACAGTTGATTTGGCACCAATCCCTTAATTAAGGATGGAGATAAATGAATAAACCTACCAAATTAACAATCACATGAGTTGAAATCTAACTTTGTATGTGTAGCATATGCCTTCAAGATATCCCTGAAAAAGACTTCAATATATTTGGCATAAACTAATCACATCCTGTGCGTTGCTCTGAAGATAAATAGAATTCTATAAAATGGTGAAATATATATCCTTATTGGTTGCATTTCCGTAGGTTTATCATTAAAAGAGTTTCTGCTAACACTATCTAATCTGGACTTTTCATTTTCAATCAGATAGCATATATTTGAATGATCATACAGCATCTTTTCTTTAGATTGAAACTGAACAGGGCTTGCTATACTTCTTAGCGTTGACCTCACATCACCGTAAGCTAACAAAATCCTTACGAATATCAGCAATAAACACAGTCTAAGATATTCTAAGACTGAAAATCCAGAAACCAATAGCCTCATACCATAATGGAAAAGTGCAATGCCATGTTGCATCTGATTAGGATATTCATATATGCTTGGACTGTAATTCTTCCACAGCTCAACCAAGAAACCGTTGGAACCAAATGTCAAATTAACAACAATCACAACAGAAAGATCATTTTCACAACTCCATTCCTCTTGCGTTTCCAGCATGTTAGAAATTAGGCAAGCATCCAATGGAGAATAGAGTTGATCTCCAGACGCTAATCCAATTATAACTTGAATACTAGTAAAATGGTATTTTAATATTTGACACACAGAAAATCCCATTAATCAAACAGCATCCTTTCAATACAGTTTGATAAAAGAAGACAAAAAAAGACGAAGCCAAGGAGGGGTAGTCAGAGAAGCCTTTTCAGGCATTCCCCTATATGTTCTTAACATCAAGAGGATCAACACAGCATTACAAACTATATATTGCACATTGCAATATGCAATAAGACCCCAAAATACCTATATGATCATAGAAGCTAGAAGTAGGTACCCTCAGGAGGTTGAACCAGCTTCCGGTTGTGTGGGGCTGCCATCTCCTTTTTCAGTTGTGTGAGTATATCTTCCATGGTGTACTCTCGCTGCCAATTTGCTAGAAGTCCAAACTTTTTAGGTTCCACCTGCAGCAATAGAATGTCATCAAATTCTTGCCACACAACCCAATTACCCAGAAATTGAAACCCAAATAAAACAAACACCCATAACAGAGCAATAAAACATGCATAGCACAAACGAGATATTAAAAAAAATTGCAAAAATACTATTTAAAAGTGCCATGAAATCACAACTATACCACTCCCGTTTCATGGTTAACACAAGTCATGTTGATTCGTGAATGGAAACGAACACTTGGTGGCTTCTCTGGATAATCTTTATCACAGAACAGCTTCAATTGGTAAATTCGACCTTCATGTACAGTCTGAAACCCAACCAAGAAAAAAAAAAAAGTAATTTAACATAAAAGCTATCCAAACAAATAAACCATCAAAACACATATTTATATGAGCAACAAAACTTCCCCTCCACAACATAGAATTTAGCTTCTCTGAAAATCCACTCAAATACAACTGTATAAAGAATTACTCTAAAAGTATTCTTCTTCCTATTTGAAAATAGGAAAATTACTGGATACCTTATTCTGAGAAATTTCCCAATTCCCAATCTCCAGTGATTCAGCCCAAAGGGAACACTATGGGAAAGTCCTAGGATGCACTACACTCCATCCAAAACCTATACAGACAGACATAAATTAAAATACTTACTAACTAGTAAACTTTTCACTCAGCATGTTGTGTTATGCCCAGGCTCGATCATTTATAATGTTTCCAAGACAATGATCAAATCTCATTACAAACACCCATAACTGTACACATTGAGCACACAATTTCCTCATTCTTTCATTCATGTGTAGGTGTTTTTTGTGTGGTATAACAAAAAGTCTACCACGCCAGTTCTACTCCAATCCACCGTTTATAGAAGATGCTTGAAACTTAGCTCTAGGATCCCTCAAGAAAAAAGAAAATTGAATTTGAGAAAAAGCAAAAGTGAGTTTCAATCAAAAGTAACATGAACTTCTTTAATCACAACCCTTCACCCCAGCAAATCCCAAGACCACAAGAAATTGGGAGCCTGAGGTTGCTGACGAACACATAACTCAGTCAGAAATTATATCCCCTGCCCATTTGGGTCATAACAGAAGCTAATACTTGATGCATGAGAGGCTCACTGCTTCTGTTAACTATGTGGTTGTGCAACAACTGTAATGTTTCAATTGATAGAACAGTTGTATAACATACATAATTTATCAATGAAATGAATATGCAATTACATTGTGAGGACCGATGATAGTGCCAGTCCAAGAGCGCATGTAAATGTCATCTCCATCATCCATCCCATAGCTGACGGTGCCATCTCCAATACCTTTTTCTCCACGTTCAAGTTCCTCTAACAATCTGAAGTTCCGAGGAACTGCACACAAATTTCTACAATGAGTAACACCAATACACTGCAATGATAATAAACTAAGAAGAGCAGACAGCCAACTTAAAGTGCAAATCACTTCCAATCGTATTAAAATGTATAATGCTCTTCATTGGTAATATCTCTCACCATTGCTTCAAATTTCAAGAATACCATAAAAAATGAAACATGATGAACTTTACTTAGGATGAAAAACTCGAATCTGTGAAATAGATGCAAATTATAGCACATGCACAAATACAAACAAAATTGTGATTACCAAGCAGGAAGCGACTCTATATTCCCAATCTTCAAAATTTTATTAAGCATCAAAGCCATCATCAATAACCGGGTGAGAAAATAATAATAATAATACTTCATCGGTCATAAATGTCTAAAGTAAGCATTTTCAAACTTCACTAAAACATGCCATAGAACATAAATATATCTGTCGGTGCAGGCACACACATAATTGTGTATGCAGAGTTCCTTTTTCCCATCCCGTTATAACATAAAACTAGACGAAACCACTAATGATCAGAACAACAGGATTGTATTGTAGCTCATGTAAAATTACCAATGATTAAAAAAAAAGGATTACACTTTAGCTCACAATTTAACTCCAATTCCCAAAATTTACGTTAACCCATTAAGATTGAAACAACCAGAATAAGGCTGTGATTCAGAACACCAAATAACATGACCACATAACATAACTAGCTTATCTCATTGAATCTCATGACCTAGAAATCAAAAACTTGAGTTAAAAACGGGGTCCCCTCAAACCCTACCATCATTGAAAATGTTAAACTCAAGTTGGAAACTTTGTCAAAGAATTTGATCATCAGATTAAAATATAAATTCAAGTAACCTGCACGAAGTAAATAGCCAAATTATCTATTGGTATACCCTAAACCAAACGTTTAAAATTCCAATACATAATTCAATAATACTAAAATTCCTTAAAATTAAATCCAATTAACAATCAAATAAAGCAACCCAGAAAATTAATAGCCGGAGAAACAAGAACCGAAAACAAACCCACATCAATCTCGTGATAAAAAAATGAATGAATGTTAAAAACCGCTAATACCCATCACTCAATTACACAAAAGAAACGAAACCCAGTACAGGAAAAGTTACAAAACATGAAAATTAATGAAACCCATGAAAAGAAACGGCGAAAACGACAAGATCAAGAGATGAAACTAAAAAAGGTAAGGGATTGAAGAAACTGACCCACGACACTAGATCCTCCTGAGCCAAGCGTCATGGGTGTTTTCCGATGGATGGTTAGCAGAGATCTGAGGGAGAGAAAGGGAAGTCAAGAGGGAGAGAATCTATGAGAAAATAAAGAAAAAGATGAGAATAAAGACGAAAATTTGAGGGCAATCGAGACGAGAGAATGAATGAAGATATTTGATTATGGAGTAATTATAATGAAGCCCCTAAACTTTAGTTTAAATTATAGACATCCCTGTAGTTACAATATTCACTTAAGATACATTTTAACTTTAAATCCGTCGATTAAGGGTGACAAATGACCTCTCCCCTTGTAATCGGATGACAAATCCTTTACTCATTGGCCTTAACCAATATTTTAATAACCAACCCGGGGTGAAACCCGGCAAAGTTGTCTGGTCTTGGGTTGACCAGTTTAATCGGTTTGATCGATCGGTCAAACCAAGTGTCAAAAAATTTAAAATTTAGCAAATACACCCCTAAATATTACGTTAAGTTCCTACATGTTTAAAATTTAGCAAACACACCCCAAATACAAATCGGCAATTGACTAGTAAGTGGCATCAGCACACCAAATGCAATCACAATCATCTCCTGAGCCATTCCCTAGAAAATCTACCCAAGATTTGGCCACCGTCAGTGACTCGGCTCGACAACCCAAGCTATATCTCACTATAGCCGACGTCAACAACCCTCCCTATCACCATGAAAATACTCCTCTCAACCTCCTGACCAAAATCCATCTCACCCCACCCCCGTTCACCTTGCCAATCGACGGTAAAAGCCAGTTGTTGTCGCCATGGGTTTCTTTAATTCTGGTCGATTCACTCACCATAAATCACCTCCACTGCCAACATTGCACTCACCAGCCCTTCCTCTTCAAAACCCCCAACATCCCAACCTTCAATTGTTCGCTGATCATCATCTCAGTTTCTAGGGTATTTGGTAAATAGGAAAATTGGTACCCCGACCTAGTGAAGGTCTTAGGTCCTGATTGAATTGGTTGAACCGATCGAGCCGGGATAGGTTTTAAAACATTGGCTTTAACTATATTCAAATAATCTTGTGTTCGAGTCACTAAGAGATGTACTTACTACGTTTGTGTAATTACCTTTGTCCAATGTGACACAATACAGGTTGCGTGTCAAATACTTCTTGTGTCTTAGAATGAACAAAACAATCTTTTGGATCAAGCATTTGAAAATGAATTGGGCCAAATGAGTGTTGGGCTCGGACCAGATGTGACACAAAACAAGTTTGCGTGTCAAATTTCCTTGTGTTGAATAAGAAATAATGAAATTTTAGTTAATTCAAATACAACCTATTTAATCATTCGTGTCGGAGGTGTCAACATGGATACAACATTGTTATTTAATAGGTGACACAAATATGAATCAATTTGCTTAATTCTTTATGATATGTTTAACCCATGTAACTTGTTCCTGACATGTATAGAGATATTTTATTGTGGGTAATTTCACTAAGGTCTCTAAACTTCAATCTAAATAATAAAAATCCCTATAGTTTCAATACTCATCTAAATATGTTTAAATATGTGGATTAGTGTTAAAAAAACGAGTTGCGGCAAATTTATGTCATGTCAAACAAGAAGAAATTAAATTCTAGTTAATTTAGATTCGACCAATTTAATTGATGTAACGAAACATGATGAACATCCGATATACTCTAGTGTAACAACTTTAATCTAATAATCCACATCGAAATAACTCCAAAGGGAACTATTATGAAATTTTATTAATAAGTCATTGTTGTAGGATAATAAACTAATCCTAATGGTACTAGAATAACCAATTATAGAGGTGTCGAGGAGGATGCAACATGATTATTTGATGGGTGACACAAATATGACCCGCATGAAACAATCAGGTCATATTCATGTCGCAACTTGACTAAGTCCACTTAGCTTTGTGACACTTTAAGCTATTTAACTCATTGATACACATTTAACTCATTTAACTAGTTTATGATATGTTTGACTTATTTAATCCATTTATAGCTTATTTATTAATAGCGTCTTAAATCTAGGTTCCGTTTGGTTAACTATTTTGAGAGTTTTTAAAATAGTCTTTTGAAAAAAGTTAAGTTGAGTAGTATTCTGAGAAGTTTTTTGTATATTTTTTAATAGCATTTTCTAAAAGTATTTAGATTATTTTTAATCCTTTAGGTTTGTTAATTTAACTAAACACCCTCAATAATAAAAGTTTATAAATTGACAAAAACACCCTCATCCACCCACATTTGCCAGATTCTGACCATCTTCCAGCGATGGTGGCTGGAATCTGGCAAATGTGAGTGAGTGGGGGTATTTTTGTCAATTTATAAACTTTTATTATTGGAGGTGTTTAGTTAAATTAACAAACCTAAGGGATTAAAAATAATCTAAATATTTTGAGTTGAATAGAATAATATTGTATTTTAAAGAGAATTTTGAATATTAAAACAAATATATATTTGGATAGGATTAGATAGAATAATAGAATAGTATATGATTAAAACGTTGTACCAAAGGGGCCTTAATTATGTTATAAGTTGGTTACACAACTCATTCAATTAGTAAAATAATCTAAATATTTTGAGTTGAATATAATAATATTGTATTTTAAAGAGAATTTTGAATATTAAAACAAATATGTATTTGGATAGGATTAGATAGAATAATAGAATAATATATGATTAAAATGTTGTACCAATGGGGCCTTAATTATGTTATAAGTTGGTTACACAACTCATTCAATTAGTCATGTCAATGAACGAGTTTGCAAGTTGAATTCCCTCGACCCTCAACCAATCATCACACTATTAAGAACCGATTTGATTTCGCCAATGAAATATGGCACAAATAAGATTAAAAATTAATGATAATCCATTTAAACTATATCAAACTTGTGTTTTTGTCAAAACTTATCACCCCTCACAAATACACAATATTTCATTAACTTTTTTGTTTTACTAAAGCACCGCCATCAACTCAATATTGCATCACAAAATAAACATTATTTTTATTCAAGAAATTATATTAAGTGACCCTTTTTTTGTGTGTGTGATTTGAGAAATAGCTCATTTGTTAAAGTCTCTAAAAAAAAATAGCCCTACTTCAAAAGTTCAACACTAGTTAGACCAAATTACCCTTTCTTAATTAAAAACCTAAAGTGATTGATCTGATACCCACCTATATAACTCGATCGAGTATGTATCGGTCAACGATAAAATGGGTAGAGTTTGTTTTGTTTTAGGACTCTATCTATATTAGTTTCTATCGGTAATCGATAGTCTCCGATAGGGTTTGTATCTGTCTCTATTAGATAGAGTCTTGAAACAAAACAAACTATATCTGATATTAGTTTCTATTAGTGATCGATAAGTGCTTATTCGTTTTTCTATCTGTTGACCCATAGATGCCTACTGGTTAGATATAGGTCACTTTGGCTTTTTAGGTTAAGGGTATTTTGGTCCAACGGATGCTAAAAATTTGGAGTATGGCTATTTCTTGAGATACTTTGAAAAACAAGCTATGTTTCAATCGACTCCCAAAAAAGAGTTTCTTATGATGTTCCTTTTCTTCAGATGTTTATATTTTTTTTATTCAACAGTTGAGAACTTGAGATCGTACTTCAATTTTCTACTTAAACCGTTGACACAAAATTTAAGGTTGATCTATTACAATTCAATGGCTTAAGAGTTGATGAGATGACAATGAAAATAATCACTTCAACTTCCATCTCATATCCGTTAGATTGCAATAATCA